AAAGAAAAAAAAATGTAAAAGGAAAAAGGCAAGAGTTGAGGTCAGGCTGAGCTAGTTGCTCCCAGAGCCTCTAAAAAGCCTCTAAAAATGCCCTCTACAGGAGGCGGGAGGATGGCATGCCTCATCTACATAATGAATTTTTCGGCTTTTAACCCTTGCTTAACTCTGCTTGAGTGATCATAAAGTCAGACTAAATGAAGCACCTCGTTCTCCTGACGCCCCCTGTAGAGGGCACTTTTATAGAGGCTTTTTTAAACAGTTAAGCACTAAGCAGAGTCATCCACGGTGACTCTGGCAGCAACTAGCTCAGCCTGATCTCAGCTCTTGCCTTTTTCCTTTTACATTTTTTTTTCTTTTCATGATGACAGTGGTGAGGCTCTGCCTCCCCTGCCTGCACGTCCCTAGTTAGTCTAATGAAGAGACAGAGTAGGGGTGGTATGATAGCAGTATTTTAGTACTTGAGGGGCTCTGACAGAGAAGACGGGGTTGACGTATTCTCCAAAGTACCTGAGGGCAGGACAAGAAGTAACAGAAGGAAGATTACCGAAGGGTGATCCAACCTAGAACTAAGGAGAAATTTCCTGACAGTGGGAACAATTGATAAGTGGAATGGCTTATCTCCAGGAGTTGTGGGTGCTCCATCACTGGAGGTTTTCAAGATTTGCCTGGAATGGTCTAGGGCAGTGTTGGCGAACCTTTTTGGCACCAAGTGCCAAAACGGGAGCGCATCCACGTGCCAGAAACCAGAAGAGCAGCTGCCCAGTGCACATTAGCGTGCATGGTGGATGCTCTTCCGGTTTCTGGTGTGTGCATGCGCACTGCAACCTGGTGTTCCGGTGTGCATGCACACACAAAAACCAAATGGCTGGTGTGCATGCCCGCGTTGGTAACTGGAAGATCATATTCTTGGCATGCACATGCAGACCAGGTGGCTGCTCTTCCGGTTTCTAGCACTCCCGCACAAATGAAGACCAGCTGCACGGGAACCTGGAAGAGCAAAAGGCGGTGGCTTGCTTGCCCGGAGAGATAGATGGCTCTGCATGCCACTTCCGGTACACGTGACCTAGGTTCGCCATCATGGGTATGGGCTCTTCTGCTTGAGCAGGGGGTTGGATTAGAAGACTTTCAAGGTCTCATTACAGCTCTATCACTTTATGTTCTATGTCCTGCTTTAAATATCCCTCATGGTTACATTCCCCTTTTATCCTGGTAGAATGAAATACATAGGGGAAACTGTCTTCTACTGTACATCTCTGTGCACTGCTGCCACTCCAAATCATTTCTTCCTTGGAATGTTGGGATTCTAAATAAATTCAAAAGTAGGATTGGCCTGACTTCTTGTGTTGACAATTGTGTTAAGTCTTGCCTTGATTTGTTTTTCTTCCTTTCTATCAATTGAATACTTACATTGCCTCTAATCCATATACAAGTAGCTTTTAAGGGTGTGGTCCAGCTGAGAATTAAATAGTTTATTCATAAAGGAACACATATGACATTGGCAAAACTACTTTTAACTCTTGATATAATTCAGAGATGAGAATGTGTATTCAGGGGCTTGAGCAAAAAGGGCACTTTTTATTCAAAGTTAATTCTACACAGTTCTTTTTCCAGCTCATCTTCTTTTTGCCTCTCTTTTCAAGGGAAAAAAAAAATCTTGAAAGGAAAGACCATGCAGGAAAATGGGATTTCCAACAAGCCCTTCAGTTATTTAATAATGAGAATATGTCAGCTTAGTTTTAAAACAGTTTATCGTGGTACGTCATTATAGCATTTGAGAAGGTAATAAAGCCACATTGACCGGTTTATATGATCTCATTTAATACATTTGCACAAAAGTAAAATTCATTAATTGAAACATTTTTCCTTGCTTTTTATGTGAAGAGTTGATAACAGTTCAGATCTGGTTTGTTACTGCCTATCTTACATACATGTGTGTGTGTATGTATGTATGCATGTACACACATACATGTAAATGTGTGTGTGTGTGTGTGTGTGTGTATGTATATATATTTTATAT